GCGGGTATCCATAGTTGAAGAATTACGAAAAACAAAACAGGTAAAAAAAGAACAGGAACCCCAGCAGCCATCCATAGCTATGAAATTACGCAACACTAGAATACAACAGGTAAGAAAAGAACAATGGCAGCCATCTGAGACTCAAACATTATTAGAAAAGCAACAGATAAGAGAGAAGTATGGAAAACCATTTGTAATTGGAAGTCTAAAAAAAGTGGGAAACAACAATTATAAATCAAAGATGCCAGTTTGGTTAGAAAACACACACAAATGGACAATCCTAAATGCAATATTCTGTGATGATGACATAGAAAATATTCAACGGTTTGAAACTACATTACAAAAATATTTCATAACAAAATAATATTTTTTATTATAATATTGTATAAATTTTAGGTATGAAGGGGAAATGAAAAAGTATCCACCTATTTTTTCCATAACTGGTGTATCACCTTCAAATACTGTTGAATTTAAAACATGGGATTCCTGTGAGACAAAATATATGAAATTATTAACAACCTCCTTTCCAAAGAATGGATTCCAAGAAATGATACAGTGGACTGAAGAAAAGAAACTATGGAGATTTCCTATCGACAATGAGCAAGGTATCATTGTTAAAGTAGTAAATTACTTAATTCTTTCACCCTTAGTTATATTATGTTGATAATATAGACATGACATAAGAAATGTATTTTTAAATCAGGGATGGAAGAGGAACATAAGATACATTTCTCAGAACATGTATTTTTGGAGCGTCATTTAACAGGATGGTGTCCAAGTAAAGGTCCCATACGACATTTTATGGAATTGGTATGCGTGGGACTCTCGCAAAATCCATATCTAACAGTCAAAGAAAAATATGATCACATAATGTGGTACAAAGAATATTTTGAAAATAAGAATGATTTATTAAATAAACTAGGACTCGTAGAGAGTACACAATGTAATACAGAAAAACAAATAACATCAAATTAACAATATTAAGCTATTTTGTATATATGAAAAAACATATAATAAAAGTAGGTACATAAAATCAATATTCCTGTGTATACGTCTCTCTAATTTATATTATAAACAATTTATATGTATAACATGTTGGAATATTAAGTTTCGAAAAAGTGTAATATAATAGAATTCAATTTGCCAACTAGATTTGCTTAAAGTGAAAGAACTTTAAAAGTCATGTTGGAGAAAAAAACACTTGGGAGCGCGACGGTCTTAACCATATGTATTTTTAACTGATGTTACCATGTGAGTTTTAGGTTAATAAATAGGTTATTCGTATATGTAGAGTTCATAAAGAAAAATGATCGAAGTAGAAAATATTGACGATCAGGATGGATTACGGTCAGATGGTAGACGTGCTTTGGAATTAAGACAAATTCGTGTCAGAATGGGAGTTTTTGGACAAGCTGATGGAAGTGCTTATATTGAACATGGTAACACTAAGGTTTTAGCGACAGTATATGGACCTCATCAGGTTATAATTTTTACTTCTTCAAATTGAAAAATAAATATGTTTTTTGTATGCAATTAATTATTTTGTATTTACATAGCCGCGAGGTTCTACTGGAAGAAATTCAAGCAAGGTTACTAAAGGTATTGTAAATTGTCAATATAGTATGGCAGTATTTAGTTTATCTTCTGGAGAACGTAAACGAAAACCAAGAGGCGATAGAAAATCACAAGAAAGGTCACTCCAGTTGAAACATGCTATGGAAGCAATAATACATTTAGAATTATATCCACGTTCACAGATAGATATTTATGTGGAAGTGTTACAAGTAGATGGAAGTGAATATTGTGCATCTGTAAATGCAGCCACACTGGCTTTGATAGATGCTGGAATTCCCATCAAGGTATATTGTAATATAACTAAAAATACATTTATATTTCTCCTATAAAGAGATTTGAAAACTAAATTATTTATTTTATAGAATTATGCTGTAGGTTGTACTGTAACGCTAATCAATACTCTAAGTTTGGAAGATGAAGATAAAACATTAGGAACAGGAGTATTAGACGCAAATTATGTAGAAGAATGTGCACCTGGTGTTACTTTATCTGTTGTTGCATTACCAGACAGTGATAGTGTATCAAAAGATGGTTTCATAGTAGTAGCTCAAGGAGCAGGACAAAGATTACATTTATCACAACTTGAATCTTTAAAAAGACGGGTTCTATGTGGGTGTCAAGACATCAAAACTATTTTAGACAATGCTGTAAGACATCACTTAACGGAACAATCTCTTCCTTCTCTTTTTCATGTTAAGTCAGATTAAAAGAAACGACTTTGTGTAATAATTTAAATTGACAACTGATGCACTTAAACAATTTTTTTTATAAAATTTTGTATACAATGTTATTTAAAAAAAATGTATATTTGTCTTAGAAAAAAAAAATATATATATATATTTCTCATTGTACAATTTATGGATGTTCTGTTTAAATTTTTCAGTTCTTTGACATAATTGCTTACTTAATCATTTTCTTATTTTATATCTTAGCACCTGGATATCTCTCCATAATCATTCCCACTCCCTGTAATGTACACAATATGTTTACCAAGGTGAAATAGTTCAAAATTATATGAAAAAGTATCACAAATTTAACTAGAAAATCATTGAAAAATTTATTTACCTGTCCACCAGCAGCACAAGCAGCAATTAATCCAAACTGTTGATCTTCTCTGATAAGTCGGTTAGCTGTGTGTGTAGCTAATCTAACTCCAGTTGCTGCAAATGGATGACCAATTGACAAAGATCCACCCCATGCATTCCATTTACTAAGATCAGGGGTTCCTACTTTCGTTGATTTTCCTAAATAGTTCTGCGCAAACCAGTCAGAATCTAATGCTTTCAAATTGGATAAAATTTGCCCTGCAAAAGCTTCATGTATTTCCCATACTCCTATATCTTTCACACTTAATTTAGCTTTCTCTAATACCTAGGACAAATTTTATAATTTTTAATAACACATGGAGTGTGTGAAATGTGTATAAAATTTGAACATTTTTAACCTTTGGTATCGCATACGCTGGTCCTAAAAGTAACTGATCAACTGGATCCTGAGAAACATACGTGAAATTTCTCAAATATGCTTTTGGAGTAAGTCCAAGTTGAAGAGCTTTACTCTCCGTCATAATCAAACCTGCAGATGCTCCATCTGTTAAAAAGGAAGCATTAGCAGCAGTCACTCCACCATATGGTTTAACAAAAGCTGGTTTCAATTTTGCCAATTGTTCAAGTGTAGACACACGAATTCCATTATCTTTATCCACCACTTTATCCACGTTTGGTACTAAAAAGTTTTAAAATTGATTAAACTTTTTTCATTTATGATAATAAAAATATTATTACCTTTATAGGGAACTAGATCTGTAAGATACCCTTGTTGTTGCGCATTAGCAGCTAAAGTATGTGAACGTAAAGCGTATTCATCCTGTTCTTTCCTTGATACTCCGAATGCTGCTGCTAATCTATCACCACTGTGTCCCATGGTTTCTCCACTAGAAAATTCTGCTACAGCAGGCAACTAAAAGTATAAAATAACGAAATATAACGAATGTTTCTAAACTATAATTTTACTAAATAAATATGATAACTCACATCTGGTACAAAATGTTGTGGCCGAATACTAGCAAGAAGAGATAATTTTTGACCAATAGTTTTTGCTTTGTTAGCTTGTAACATTAAAGATCTCATACGTCTACTATGCCTAATTGGTATATCAGACATAAATTCAACTCCACCAACAACAATTACATCATATACACCACATGCAATCAAACCCATGCCAGTTGTAATAGCTTGATTGCTACTAATGCATGCCATAGTTATTGTATGTGCAGGGGTTTTATCGCTGTATCCAGCTGCTAAAGCAGCTTCTCGAGCTATATTAGAAGTTCTTACTTCTTGCATGACAGTGCCATAAACTATATATTCCACCACATCTTTGGGAAAGTTAATTTTTCTTTGCAAAGCCCTAGAAATTAAAATATGTTATATTACAATATTATTCTTTCTCTCAAGTATTATGTTTTAAAATTTACTTACACCAATGCATTTCTTGCAAGATCATATGCCATTAAATTTTTATAACTTGTTCCAGATTGCAAAAATGGTGTTCTAACACCATCAATGTACACAATATTTTTGGTACCGTTGTTACTTTTAGTTGCATAGGATTTATTTATAATTACATTCCAATAATTTGCAGCTGCTCCTAATATATAGAATCATTCATAGTCACTCAAAAGATATTTATTGTATTTATACAATTATGTATTAAACTATATATTAAATATTAATAGAAGAAAAAGAGAATAATATTATTTATTATTATATTATAATATTATTAATGAACCAATAACTCATTTATTTAGATTAAATCATTTTTATTTTATTTTTTTAAAGTAATTTTATAATTGTAATATAGCCAAGCATTCTCTAATAATAATTATCAAGTCATTAGATTAGAGCCTTTCATTACTGTACTTTGTACTCTCATTATTGAATATATTGAACTATATCATGATTAAATTTTGTTTCATTATTTAATAATCCTTTGTATTATGAAGTAATCAATCGTACCATATTTAATAAATCCTTGTTTCGCCACAGCGCTATTCTTTAAAAAGGAGAGCATTTTTTATAATTATTTTAAATAAAAAAGTGTTTCCTTATTTTGGCACGTACAGTGTTTTCCTCTACTAGGTGTGATTGAAATATAGTTAACATGAACTTTGGCCCAAAGTAATGATTATTAAACGTTTTATTCTAAAAGCGGCAAATTCAAAATTCCTTCATCTTTTTCAATTCGTATAAATTTTCTACATAAAAAACTGAATATTAACATTTATTATTTATTTATTAGTATTTGAATACAAAAAGTGTTTTATTTTACAATAAAACTTTTATTCTTCTGTCATACACAAAATATATTACACAATACTTGTTCTTCCTATGGCATTCCTATCTATGATGTGAAATTCTGCGACACAATTAAATAGCGCTACATTCACGTGACTGTCAGTCAGTATTGAATTCGTTTAAATATCTGTACTGATATAATAACTGTTTGTTAATGCAAATGTAATTGATATTAATGTTTCTAAAAATACAAGAGTGAAATGGGCCATTATATATTCAAGTGGTTATGCACGTGCTATATAGCAGCATAAGTGTAGTATCGCTGCATGAAAACGTGCTTAATACACAAATGCGGGAAAACTGACAGGTTTCCCGCGTACGATCTCGTGTATACGAACAATTTTCGAAAGTGTATTAACAAAACATTAGTTTAATGCAGTATCAGGATGACTTTAGTACGCTCCATTGTGGAACGGGAAAAAGGATCAGGTAAATTCATTTTTTTAGATTATAAATCATAAAGAAATTCAATTGTTTCTGAATATTTGCTGACAGGTTATATGTAACCCGATGCAACGTTATTATTAAGTTAATTGTCGATTATTTTTACGTTTAGCATGTAATTCTTATTTTTTAAAGCGGAATGTAGATTTAACGAACATGAAATAACATTTCAGCAATTATACGTGATTACGATATTGCGTTGTATCGTTTGAAGTGTTATCAAGATGATGTCTACCGTGGTATAACACCAAACACAAATGCACTCGATTTTAATCCGGAACCGCCGGTTTTTGCATGTCGATTCTGTACTACGGAAGGATATGAGCAAATAATTGCCTTGGCAAACGAAGATGGAAAAATTGCTCTTCAAAATACAAATGTTAAAGAAGCGACCAATCAACCCTTGGAAGGGACACAGGTAATAAAATGAGCATAATGCTTAATAGTACATCACATATTAAAGTTAAATAATTTAAACATTTACATAGAATGTACAAGAATGATATAATTATGTTTAAATAATTTTAGACACATTGTAATGCAATATTTGATATTGCTTGGATGCCTGGTGAATTAAAGTTAGTTACAGCATCCGGAGATCACACTGCCAGATTATGGGATGTGTCCGGTTCTGAAATAAGACAAGTTAAATATTTTCATGCTCATACAAGAAGCGTTAAGACTGTAGTGTTTCGCTATCAGGATCAAGGTATGTATTTAGTTCTTTGTTAGTAAAAACATCTTTTAAAATATTTATGTAATACCTTAGAATTCTTCTTAAAAGTCAAAAATTGATTAAAAACACGTATTTCAGCTGTGTTTGCAACAGGAGCTAGAGATGGTTCTATAATGGTATGGGACATTAGGGCTAATCATCATGAACAATGTAAACCAGACAATTGCATTACCAATGCACATAATGTTGGAACCATAGGCAATGTGAGGCAACGTAGAGCGTTTAATCATACATCTAGAGCACAAAGTATAACTGGTTTGGCATTTCAAGACGATGTCACCTTGTTATCATGTGCAGCTGGTGATGGGTAAATTTGTTACTATAAATGAACATGTACTATATTTAAGAAGAATATAACATCAAGAACTGTTAACATTACAGGTTAATAAAAGTATGGGATTTGCGTAAAAATTACACTGTTCACAAAAAGGAACCTATAGCTAAACATACAATGAATTACACTGGACATAGTACAAGAAATGGATTTTCATCGCTATTAATATGTCCTGCTAGAATCACATTATATGCAAGCTGTATGGATAATGTTATATATGCATATAATATATCGTCGTATAATCCCAAACCAAGTAAGCCTTATAAGAATAAATTATTAATATTAAAGTATCGTTAAACGTTAATGTGTTTCGCGTATTAGTTTCAGAATTTTATGGGCATCAGAATTGTACATACTATGTTAAGACTTGTTTAAGCCCCGATGGACGTTATATAGCCAGTGGTTCTAGCGACGAACTTGCATATATATGGCGCACAAATAAACCAGGAGCACCAGTAGTGCAACTCTCCGGACATACAGAAGAAGTTACTTGCATTGCGTGGTGTAACGTCGGAGAAACTAAAGTATAAATATAAATCCTATTATCCATTTTACCGTAATAATTAATGTTAATCCTATTCACATTTAATTTTCTTTTTAGATAGTAACATGTTCTGATGATTCGTGCCATAGAATTTGGAGAGTGGGCTATGAACATAAAATAGATAACGAGGAAGTACAAATACGTGGTCATGCTGAAATTGTACTTAATAAGAATCCTTTAGAAAATTTAAAATTAGAAACTACGCCGACTATTACTCGACGATGGGTTGTGTCTCAAGAACGTACTCCGGGATCTGACACCACACCTAGTAATATTCGTAAAAATACTTATAAAAATATAATTTTTAATTGAGTACATTTTAAATAATATTCTCATTTGTGTTTCATAGATGCTACCCCAGGTCCCAGTTCTGATACTTCTAAACAGATCGAGGATCATAATCAGAATTATCATAGGATTAGTAATTCTGTGAAAAGAAGTTATTGTCAAATGATGATGGGATCATGGTCCGAAGGAAAATTCAAGTCAATTTTATCACCGATACATGAAAATTATGAATTTAATGCGAAACGAGCTCATTTAGAAAATCGCGGTGCGCGAAGGTTATTCAGCCCAAATCATGATAATAATCGATTACACAAAGGCTACGAATCTGATGAACCAAGCACAAGTTCATCCACTGCAGAGAGTAAAAACGATATTCTTTTTTCGCCCACATTGAACCTCCCAAATTTTGTAATCGATGGTACAGCGCCACATTTACTTCAAATGTCCCCGGAAAAGTACAAAGAAAATGTTGATTGGTTAACGAGAATACGAAGAGAGAAGTTTGAGCATAGATCTGGAAAATCGATGTCGGAAAAATTAAGTCTTGTTTCTCATACAACGCCTGCTAGAAGAAATAGCCGATCACGGTCAACGGAACCGCAAAAAGTAACTAAAACGTCTAAAAGTTCTGTTCCCTCTTTATTAAATTTTTTTAAAGTTACTGGGAAAGATTGTGAAACAAATGCGTGTTGTGATGACGTTAATGAAATGCCTTCTACGAAATCCTAAAAGTAAACCGTTTCATGTGGTTGGACTGTATTTTAATTATAATTTCGTTTATATTGGGTTGGCCAAGAAGTCTTCTTGCACTTTTTAAGAAAACTTGAAAACAAATTTCAATCTATTCAATGGAACTTTATTAAACTATGCATTGCTATTTTGTTCAACAGCACTCTGTTATCTTCGAGGAGCTTTATTGTTCTATCTTTGGCAAAGCATCTACATTTTTTATATAAAACAGTAAGATTTCTTTACCAACTCAATAATTTTAGAAATATATTTTATACTTCAGTATCAAATTACATACATAGCACTGACCAACTAATGTGATAAGAATTTCAGTGCATTTTCAGAGTCAATGCATTTCAGAAAGCAACGAATTTCATAGTGTAGGATATAAGATATCTAATATAACCGTGTGAGTATTACGATATATGTAAAGATAAATCATATACTCAAGTATGTCATATACCGACGACAATAGCATAAAGTACCTTTTATATGCAATAATAAATTATTTTTTATAAAAATATATAATTGAATTACAAACGAACTTAACTCATTTTTTTTATCATGATCAAAAACGTAGATAATACCTTAAAAGATGAAGAAACGTGGTATGTAGATTTTAGTACATAAAATAGATTACAATTTTATTTAAATTATATATGGTTTTTTTATTAAGTATTCAGTTCAGGACAAAAGACTTTCACTGCTCGTGGAAGTAATTTAATTTTAACTGATTTTAGTTCATATTCTTCGTTGTCGATAAACAATTTTTTCTCTTTATTTACCTACAAATAGATTTTATATATATAAAAATCATTAATTTTAAAAATATTTGAATGATCGAAAATTTACCTCTTCAGGCATTATTTCAATGTCTTTTGCCTCTATTACTTGCTTAAATAGTAATTTATTATCTCTCTCTTGTTTCCATCCCTCGGATACAAAAGAAAAGTAACCAACATCTTTTGGACCTATATTACAAATAGAGAATTTTTTAATTATTATGTTTATAAGAATTATATTCCATTAGTGCATAGCATGTTTTGCTAATTACCTATTTTTAATTTCAAAGATGACGTTGACGACGGAGATTCTGATTTTTCTATGTTAGAACTTTCTATGTGGAGTTCACATGTTGACAAAGGTAATTCATGAGAAAGGCCACATTGTTCATTTATTACTTGACTGTAATCGATCTCTGGAACATTGGTATTATAACGTAAAATGTAATTTCATGTTTAAGTATATTCTAATATTTTTAAAACATATTTAAATATATTTGAATATACCTGGTGTGGGAACTCTTTTTCTTGGAATGAAGGCATGCCACCACCTTTTATTCATGTTAGCAAATTCATTTAATGACATATCCTTTTGATAACAATTGGAACATCCATCACATGGGTTTGTATATTTTATAGTTGCATCACAATTCCAATTCAACTTTTTTTTATATCCATTAAATACATAAGTTACATAGCTGTAATAAATTTAGTACAAGCAAAAAAAATTGAACGATAAAGGAACATGAAATATCTGTACTCACTTTCGTAACGGTCCCCAATACCAATATTTTTTAGCAATAAAGTGTGCATCTTTCCATGCACCCCATTCAATTGTTCCCATAGCATAAATTGGTTTCACAGGTTCTTCAGAATTTTCCTTGAATTATATGTATATATATATAAATATAAGTGTAAATATAAATATATATTTACTTTGTAGATGTTGTACATTTATTAAACATACTTCAATAGGTTCAACTTCTATCATATCCATCATTTTGCATTTTTCAGATATGATTGCCGTTGTGGCCTCCAGTATTTGCTTTACATCAGCTAAATCATCATATTCACGATATATTGATTTTGCGATTTTGTTTACTTGTCCTAAAGGTAAAATACCAATTGGACATTGCTTAACTGAATTAATATTAGAATTATATTTTCTAACTAATCCTGTTAAAACATCAGACAGAGTGCCATCTCCTCCAGCTACAATGATGGCATCTGTTGGTGTATCCAAATTCATTACTATTTTCCTGGCTTCGTTTTCTGATTTAGTTTGTATCACTGTTACAGCTATTCCAGCTAAATGTAACAGTGGTTCACAGTAATTTGTAAATAACTTTTTCGCTTTTCTGTGTTCAAAAATAATTATTAATAATTGAGGGATTACTAGACATTTTATTCATATATGAAATACAGACAAACCCTTTCTTGGCATTTGGATTTAAAATAATTGTCACATGTCGAGGTTTTGTATTTGTTGGACATGGTGTGTCACCGTACTGTGATACAATTTCACAGTACTCCCTCACTAATTGTTCTGTACTGAAAACAATAAAATATTTATTAAATGCTGAATATAAATTAAGAGAAAAACATTTTCATTGATATTTTATTACTTTTATAATATAAGGTTATATCTTACTGGAATGAATCTTTGCTATATGAAACCCCGTATGACAAAGCTGCAACTCCCAAAACAGATTTTTTCCAATTGTTTCTTATAGTTTTAAAAAACTTCAATATCTTAGCCATCTTTTGGTGTGTTTACTCTTGGTAAAATAATTTGTATAATACGCAAATGTCACACTGCACAATTATTTTTATTACAATGAAAAACTTTTCAAATGATCAAATTGTTTAGTATGAACAATGTTTACACTATTCATATTTTTGAACATATATTTAAACAATGTTCAAAGAGTGATTGAAAGTAAACAGTTCAAAGGGATGGTCTAGCAATACGTGATGTTTTGATAGCGTTTTCCATTCATAATTGTGTATTGTAACCGCGTGTACGAAACGCTTAAGAATTTTGAAACCGGTGTATATTTTCTCATTATTACTCAAGAATTATAAAAACTTTTAATAAAATCGCTTATACATTATCTTGCATAATTTAATTTACATAAAAAATAAAATTTTGAGTTTAAGTATTAGCATATAATATTAGTGATCGCAAGAATAATTTCTGATTGTTTGAATATTTATTAAAAATAATAAATTGAATAAAAGAAGTAAATGTGCAAAGGATAATGAAGTTGTATACAGTTACTCTAAGTTGAGACTATATAAGCTGTAACATTATTATCCGTTTATTTAATAGATAATCAACAATTTTTTCGTAAATTTACAAATTAGTTAGCAAAATTATAAAATTTATTGTCGGAAATGAGATACAGTCAGTATTTTACGACAATGTACTTTTAACGCCCTCTATGTAAAACGACGGTGATGTTAGTAACTACATCTCATTTAAACGTGGAAATTGGAAATACATTTAAAATTGCAATAAATGCGATGAAATAGATATGACAAAAATAATATATAATTGCGTTGTTTCTATTAGTTAATGATAACATTAACACATGACTCTTATTCTTTAAGATTTGAAGTATTAAGTGTATCCGAGGAATATTAATTAAATTGACTTATGCTATTTACAATGAAAGGCGTTAATTTCTTATTTTTCTTCTTTCTCTTGTTACTATTATTATTTTTCTTGAAATTATGAAAGCTAGCATGTATTAAACACGTATAAAGATCATTTATAAATTACATACAGTATTAAATGACAAAAAGTACAGTTCTACATTACATTTGTATTCATACTTCCGTTTTTATGTATAGGAGTAATGTTTTCATACAATATTTGTGAAATAATTATGGAAGATTTATTTGTATGATATTTTTAAAACCATAAAATTTTAATTTGTAATTCAAACCTATATTTTTAGTGAGTGTATGAAGGTAGTTTAATTAATTTTAATATTAAAAAATGACATGGAAGGAAATGAATTACGTAATAAAATATTAGTTTTATAATCATGGTATGTGTACTCGTTAATCGTAAATAGATGAAAATACATTACATAACAATGAAATCATTTTTCAACTTTTTCACATACAATATAAATAACAAAAGAAATACATAAAACAAATTAAAAAAATAGAACTTAAAGGACAGAACACTTTTTAAAAGATACCAATTGAATGAGCTAGTGCTGCATATATGTGCAATGTTGTGGCACCTATTATAAAAGTAGTAATTGCTTTAACAATAAGTGTCGACCATGGGCCAGTTAAAAAAAGTGTTGTTAAGAAATCTAAAATAAGTGGCCTATAGACAGTAAGTACAAGCATACCAACAACTACAGGAACTAAACCACGTTTTAAATCATGTCTTGACCATAGCCACACAAGTGTTGCTGTTGTTATATGCTGTACCTAGAAGTTAATTATATAAAATATAATTCTGTTTAATATATAATGTTACACTGTTTAATACTTACTAAATTAATGTTAGATTCAAGACTCTCTTGAATGTATTTCCAATCAAACTCTGCACCTCTGGCACCAACCCATAATAGAAGAAATCTAGTAAGGAGTACTTCAGCACCTGCCCATCCAATACCGGCAGTTAAAACTTTTGCATGTCCCTTCCCAGGAATGCTATTTAGCACTAAAAGGATTCCTACTAAATCAGCTAAGTCTATAGAAGATTTCAAGAATTCCTGAAATGTTTTATTTCTGTTTTTGAAAATCAAAAATTTTTATTACGAACAATAGCAAATAAAAACACTTACGCCTACTAAATCAAATCCACTTTCTCCCATAGTATCAGCTGTAGAGAAAAAAGTAGCAAGTGCTAACATTTTTACTAGTTGGGTGAAAATATAAATACCTCCTGCTTGAATACATTTCCAAAATGCTCCATATTCGGATCTGAAAATTTATAATGGATAAGGACTAAATTACAGTCAGCATTGATTATTTATTGATGAGTACAACTGGAAATTCAATTAGGTTAGGAAGAAATAAATCATACTTACAATCCTGAATATTTATAGGTAAGATAATATGGAACGTAAACTAAAGCTAAACAATTTCCAAAATGATACAGTGTCATTTTCTCGATAGTATTATGTTAATTTAATTTATATATCATTCACTATCTGATATCAGATAACTCATAATAATATACAGATGAAAATATATTCTACTTCGCAACCGAAGAGTCACTTGAGGTAAAAGGAATTCTCATATGTTCGACTCTTGAATGGTAATTATTATTAAAATGAAACAGATATTGGTGTTGCCTAAATTTTTCTTGACAATATCTATTAATGATTATTAATTATGAAATTTTTATTAATATATAATTTCTTAATGAAACAGTCCGTTTAAGAGCTTGTGGCGGCATCTAAGAACAAAAAATGGTATTAACTGGATGTGCTAGTAGCTTCAGTATTTTATTGTAGATGGCGCTATAATAGTCTTGATATTGACGAATTTTTCA